CAACACAGCATGCTTATCAGCGGTGGAGCATCACGGGCCTCTGAATGCAACACGCAAACCAGCTACGACATCACACTGGAGGGTTAGACTCATTCTTCTCTGCTAATGAGGTCTGAATTGCCACTTTCCATTAGAACCATTACTGTGTGCCCAAAACATTACAGCAGGATGGCCTGCTATTAAACTGCAGCCGAACCAACAGTCTGGTAATTGAAATAAATAATATGAATACATTTTTGATAAACATCAGGACAAAAATGTCAAAACTAATATATTTGCACTTTTCTGCGTTGTACAGCAAGAACTTAACCACATGACACGAAGATATTGGGGCTTAGAAACTGGTAAACTGAACTAAACTGGTTTGTCTGGCGTTATTCAAGCAATTTAATCAATTATTCAGTAATTAAAATATCCAGGTCTTTACTGATTTCTGGAACACAAACTCTGTGCGTTACTCTTCTTCACAGTGGATTATTCGATTTTTCAACACATTTTGTTATTTGGGGGTTTAAGTCTAATGAAATTACCAAACTATAAGGACATGCGTGTAATTAATAGTAAGGATGTTACCACTGTTCTGGCAATTTCATATTTGATACTAACATCATATGCATTTTTGTATTTGGTGCATAACTTTCACCTATCACTATCACTCAACTATCACTATATTAGTATTAGCGTTGCCATTTCTCACTAATGTGTTGGGCTGTGAGCTAGATGTGCACACAGTGTAACTGAGGAGGACACCAATCCTACACTGATAGTTCTGTGTATCAAAATTGTGTCACATGTTGAGTCAGTAAAAGGGAGGGAAACTGTGGTTTCTGTGTCCCTAAACAAAATGAGACCAAATCTACACTCATTTGAGGGCTTAGGAGCCAACAGCCTTTGGGAGTGACTACGAATGTAAGAACAATTGGTTCGCTTATATTAAAGGCAGCGAGTCTGGGTGTGTTCAGTAAATAAGTGAATTTACTGTATTTCTAACAATCTGATAAATAAATATGTCCATTCAGCTTTAGCAAATCAAGCCCTAAAAAACAAAGGTTTTAACAATGACGCTACTTTTTGGGGTGCAGAGACTGCCTTTATACAGAAATAAATGGGAGATAGTGCTCGTAAAAGGGTAACAGATTCACAGCATTTATTGTAAATGCACAGGTTTTGTTTAGGTATCTAATTAATCTAATTCATTATAAGTGACAGAAATAAGTAGAATTCTGTATTTTGGTGCCATAATAGAATTTTTGCAGCACTGTCACAAAGAAAGAGCAATCCCTAGTTTTCTGTATGTTATTCCAAGCTACCGTCAAACCTGTACATTTGCAAGCATTATACAGGGCTGGCAAACTCTCCAATAGCCCTAAAGTCCATCTAAATATGCAGGTTAACATCATTTCTTGTTTGCTTGCATGCTTGGACTCATTAATTAGTATGCATAATCATGTATAGGCACACTCAGTCAAAGATGCTGGATGTTTGGTTAGTCATCTGAGCACTCTCTTTGTGCATAAAGAGGCCAATTTCTTCGCTTGAATAAATACAAACTGAATCAAACATCATGAGCACTTGTACAGGATGTTTTTACTGATAAAACCCATCAGAATAAAGCTCAAAACATCTATGAAATCCATTCACGATTTAGATTCATGGTTTAATTAGTGGAAGGCAAAAACTCTGTGGGTCAACTCACAGATGTTGGGCAACTAAAGTCAAAGAGACAGTGAAGACCAGTGAATAACTGACATGTCCTATGGTAATCAAGAATGTACATTTATGGGGAAAAGAGTGCATGAGTACTGTGACAACCTGTGCTAATAAAATCCATGATCCAATAAAATCTATGGCCCTTTACCAAGACTGTCAATTCTATATTCAGTACCTGGAATTTAGGTCCAAATGGACTCTAGGAGGTTAAAAAGGAAGGAAAACTTGGACTGAACCCATTCACCATACTAGGTTCAGGAATAGCTCTTGACATATTGGCCTACCCAGCATGCCCTCTGCCTCTCTAGACAGCTCTGACATCATTATACAGCAGATACAGACCAGGACATCAGCTGCACAGTCGAGGTTATATAAGTGAACTCTCTACGTTTCTTAGCATTCAGCTCTGCTGCCCCACCATGGGGAAAAGGGAGGGGATGTGAGTAGATGATGGGGGGCAGGAATAAGGAAAAGGAAAAAGAGCAAGGAGGCCAGGAAGAAAGACGAAAAGAAAGAGCGTCTGAAAAAGAGAGGCCCGCTGGGGTGCTTGCTGCCGGGAGAGACTGAAGGTCACCCTTGGCCCCCTTAAGGAGCCCCAGAGAAGAGAAGAGAAGAGAAGAGAAGAGAAGAGAAGAGAAGAGAAGAGAAGAGAAGAGAAGAGAAGAGAAGAGAAGAGAAGAGAAGAGAAGATCCACCATCCTTGTGATCTTTCAGGCAACCCTGTTACATCACACACTCAGTCAACAAGCAGAGCCAGGATTTCTTATTTGCTTTTCTTCTTTGCATAGAAAAAATAAATACATTTACACTAATAAAAGCTTGAGTGTAAAAAACATCACTTAAATTTGTCTCACACCTCATTTTCAGTCCATTTACAGTCACAGCCTCTAAACGGACCTCTAAAGAACACAGCTGCACTCGAATGGTGGATTTGTCCAAGGCTAATAATCAACCCAGGGACAGAACCCTGAGATTTAAACTGATAGCTAATGATTAATGAATCGCAGCCATCTGGGGTCATATCACCTCATCTGACATAAAGTAACACTTTTAGACTGCTTTTGTATTAAACCCCAAGACTGTACGGTCATTTAGAGCCTCGTCCAAAAATATGACTAATACACTTTTAGGTTTCAGGTCTTTTTGATGTGCAAATTGCTCTCTATCTCTGAAGCGCTTCCAAATGTAAAAACTCTCCATGTTAAGATTTGCAGCTGGTTAGCATGTTTAAAACCTTATAGCCTGCTATCTGATACATGCTTCACTGAGCCAGAGAAAGTGTTTCTGTTGCAAGCTTGATGGATTCAACTGCAAGAGCCTACAGCTTTTAGACTGTCACCTTCTATCAGCACAGCACAAGCCGCTGAGAATCCAGACCCAGGAAAGGCGTTAAGCAGAGTGGTTACATTAAGTGATTTCATTATTATAGTGCTGTAATGTGGTGATGACTGCTTTTGCACGCAAACAGCTGCGAGTGCGCACAGGGAACAATCCCAGTTGCATTTACTAACGATCTGCAATTGTGCACAGTGGTTGTTTTCAGCAGGGATTCTCACATGCCTCGTGGGGATGATGAAGGTGTCAGTGTTGCTTGTCGTCTGTCAGTCGAAGCTGCTGCATATTAACAAGCATTATTAAGGTTTTTCTTGGCATCATTAAGCAGTTCAGTTGGCAACACTTTGCATTTGGTTTGGCATTCATGCCAAAGCTGGCTTTAACCACCCTGCTGTATTGAACTGTACTCTATTCTGCAGCTGTTTATCTAAAACAAACTGTATTAGTGGATGCACAGCATAACAGCGCATTTAACAGCTGCAATTGCTTTAATGTGCTGATCAACTGGAACAATGCTCTGATATGTGCAATATAAAGTGATCAGATCCGACTGCGATCACCAGAGCTGTACTGGGCGTTAATTGTGCATAGACAGAAGCAGGAAGAGAAAAGGTCCTAAATGCTAGCCTGTAAGGATTACAGGGACTATTATGTAACCAGCTATATTTACACAAATGCACAAAATGCATGCAAACATAGGATCTTGCAAACTTAAAAGTGCATACTCGTTTTGATCTATAGGACTGTTTGCAATGCAAGATCATTTCCAGTGCTTTAAAATCTTACTTCTGCATCACCTGAGCAGGGCTGTGGTGTCCATGAGAGGGAAACAGAGTGACACAACCCCCATCAGTGACACATTACTGGCCTCCCACCAATGAATGAGAGCATGGATAAAACCAGCGGTTGCATATAGTCAGTAGATTTGCTCAACCACCATATACATTATAGCTTTGCACAGTCAATTGCTATTTTTGCAGATTGATATTGATAAAGCAGAATTGAAAGTGGAATCATATGCCTCAGCACGATTGCAGTGAATCACATTAATGACTCAATAAGTGCAATCTGTATAATAACTATTTTCACTGTAGACACTTGTGTTGATGATAAGCTTTAGTACTATTACTAAATTATGGCCATAGCTTTTACTTCAAGAGTCTAAATCCCACCCTCTACAAAATGATGCTTAAACTCTTGTGCAACACTACTTTTGATTTAATATTGCTTGCATTAGTGCACAGGGCTGCACGGGAGCCTGAAAATACAATAAAGTTTTTTCCCCTATTTCTGATCAAATATTCTGACTTCCTGTGGACCTCCCCTTCACCACCCCACTGTAAAAAAAGAAGAAAAAAAATCCTGGAAACGCCCCTGACTTAAAGTTAATTTATAAGAGCCGTAAGTCATAGTAATAAGTATTGATCTGCAGTGCTCTTACTGATACTAGATTACAGACAGCACTGCAACTTCTGCAACATCCGAGGGAAGAAAAAGTTGGAAACCAAATTAGGGTCAGGTAACCGCCGCTTGAGGTTCCCTTTAGGACTGTAGGTGTAGCCTGTCATAGCTACTGATCTTTATCAGTTAGGCCCCTATGCGTGTGTGCACACGTGTGCATGCGTGATTTGACCGTGCGCGTCAGTGTGCAGCAGGCGTAAATGCCAAGCTGCACACACCACAATTAACCGCAACAAAAGCAAACAAAAAAAAAAAGGCTGTCAGTACCCTGACGATCACTTTGGGTATGCTGACAACTGCTAGCCGGAGTGATACGGTGGTGCCGGAGTGACGAGCAGGATTACCCAGCCCCTGCTGGACTCCACTCCGTGCGTTACCCTTCGCTGCTGATCCGATCTGTCAAACCAGCCCGGGCTACTGAGGCTAGCGCCGCCAAACAACTGCCTGCCCACCACGCTGTGAACGTCGTGTTTCGGCATGATCGCGACACTCACCTTCACCTTCAGTTACTCCCCACGCGGTTTGGACACAACTTCCCGCTGGGATACGAGGCGGAAATAAAGCGTGAGAAAGTCCCCGGGTTCATGCACAAGTGTAGCAGTAGAGAAGCGCTGGATGGCTCCCCCGTCCCCTCACTCCGAGCCCATTCCTCGGCCAAGCTGCTGCTCCTCGTACCGTCAAATTATCTCCCCGCTCGGACAACAACCCCCAGTGCTCCTTCCTGCAAAGCTTCAGCGCGGATTGAAGCCGTTTGTTTCCTCTTTTTGTTGCCTTCCAGTAGCGTTTGGATGGGCTGCAACGACATCGGGGGAAAGAAGCGAAAAAGAAATACTACACGCTCGCTCCTCCCTCCGCTTATGCCCGGTACAGTAAGGGCAGCGCTCGGCGGTGTAAGCACTTATTAAAACTATCTACTGCTCTCTACAGGAATTCCACTGTAAAGCACGCACTGTACACACGGACACATGTCGGGACGTTCGTGTCGCGTGAAATGCGGCGCAATCCTCTTCTTTGACTCGCCTCACTTGCCCTTATTTATTGACTTCATCATCACCCCCTCGGAGGCCCCCTCCATCCCCGTTTCCTCCTCATCCTTCCCTCCCTCCCCCTGAGAATCTGGGAGTCATTCACCTCAATGAACATTCAGATGTCATGAATGGACGTAACAGAGGCGTGAAACACTGTAATAGGAAACAATGTAAGAGCCGGGGAAAATATAATAATATATATTAATAACAAAATAACTAATATAGATATATACAGATACATTTTATTAATAGGATTCCACAAATAGCTATATTTTGATTGGAATCGGTTTGGACGTGCATTTTTTTTAATATAATTGATTAGGTCTATTGAAGAATCAATAAAATTGAGCAATTTATTGAATAATTCTTTAAAAAAATCAAACGTAAACTGACTATATGGGAGTATGCCCATGCTTTTCAGACATTTTACACATGAAGTGATTAGAAATAATCACCAAAATAATTAATAATCCTTCCGAGTTTATTGTCTTGTTTGATTAATATCCCTTTACAGCTGATTTTTAAAGAAAGGTGGATAATGAAATATTTTTATTCAATATAGCACTCGATTTTATTGATTCATCTGTTAGCCTAATCAATTATCATATCTTTTAAACATATATGTCCAAACCTACTCCAATAAAATCTTTTTCTAAATAAAATAAAATTATCTACAATTCTAAGAAAATATTGTCTTGTTTTTAATTTGATAGCACCAGCAAAAAATGTGGAAATTAGGGACAGGGGCAAAAAGGGTCTCGAAAAATGAGCCTAAAAAATGCTGGAGAAACATTTTGCAACTATTTAGGTGAGCATAAAATGTGCATCTTAAGTAGGCGAAGTTTTTCATGAGTAAAGCTAGGAATTAGTTCATCAATATGCAAAAATGCGCATTACAACAATCTCAGAATAATTTTCTTTAATGTAAAATTGCAAAGACTTTGAATGTCTCATCATCTACAGTACGTAACACCATGAAATGATTCCAAGAATCTGGAGAAATCTCTGTACACAAGGGACAAAGCTGAAAATCAATACTGGATGCATGTGATCTTCAGGTCCTCAGGCGGCACTGCATTAAAGACGGGCACGATTCTGTCATGGAAATCACAGTATGGGCTCAGGAACACTTCAGAAGTCATTGTGTGTGAAAGTTCACCGTGCCATTAACAAATTCAGGTTAAAGCTCCATCATGCAAAGAAGAAGCCATATGTCAACATAATTCTAAAACGCCGCCGTCTTCTCTGGATCAAAGCTCATTTTGACCTCTCTGCATTCAGTCATACGTCTTATTAATCTCTGTCTCTCTTCCACAGCATGTCTTTTGTCCAGTCTTCCTTCTCTCACCCCAACCAATCACAGCAGAAGGCCACCCCTCCCTGAGCCTGGTTCTGCAGGAGGTTTCTTCCTGTTAAAGGGGAGTTTTTCCTTCCCACTGTCGCCAAAGTGCTTGCTCATAGGGGGTTGTTGGGTTTTTCTCTGTTGTATTATTGTAGGCGACTGTTGTGATTTGACGCTATATAAGTAAAATTGAATTAAATTGAATTTAAGGAGGGCGACTGTCTGGCTAATCAGAGTTAAGTTCAGAAACCTGCTGTCTCTGATGGTATGGGGATGCATTAGTGCCTATGGAATTGTCAGCTGTCACATATGGAAAGGGACCATCAGTGCTATAAAGGTATTAAAGGTTTTAGAAGAACACGTGCTTCCATCCAGATGATGTCCTGTTCACGGAAGCTTATATATTTCAGCAGGATGATGATGATGCTAAACAGCTTACTGTGGCTATTAGAGCAGCATGCGTTCATAGCAGAGGAGTCGGGATGCTGAAGAGACCTGCATGCAGTTCAGGCCTTTGCCCCGCTGGAAGTGAAAAATATAACAAAGGAGACGCAGCACTGCGGAGCAGATAGAAACCTACATCAGACAAAGAGCAGGCTTCAGACTGCTCTAAATGCTGTTGTTTTTTTAACATTTGGCTCTAATATATGGTGCATCTTATATATTCCTTATTTTTAACTCACTGGATGTTAGAAAGGCAACCAGCAAGACTGCACCCCTTGCCGTGCCATTTCTGGTCTGCGAGCCGTATGTTTGTCACCCCTAGATTACGCATCATATTTAATAAAACGTGTTTTCTTCTCACTACAATCTCATTCTCGCTTTCTTGTGCATCACTCCACTTATTTAATAGCTAACAACAACTGTGGATACAGAGCGGATAATATTCTTTGTTATCATCAAATATAATATTACATTTAAACTTGAGAGATAATAGACACCACTTATTTTGATCAAAATAACAGCTGGAAAAACATAATCTTCTTTCTTGCAGCAAAATTAACACAATTGCTTCAAATAAGCCGTCCCGCTGAGATCCCGAAGGCATCAAGGATTCTATCATCAAATGGTAAAGTGCAAAAGCTTTCTTTTTTCAAAAAAAATATATAAATAATACCATCACATCTTTTTTAGAATAAAGTCCATCTTTTTTTTCTTAAAAAGAGCATGGCGTCGGAAGATCTTATGAAGTGAAGCTTCAGGGATTCAAAAGCTTTCTCCTTCCTCTCTCCAGTCTTGAGAGACATCCTGTGTTTGGTGAATGTACAACCCCTGAAAGCCATACGGATATTTCTGTCCAGCTAATCTTGCTCGCAAATATGCAGGCAGTCGTCAGCTCCGAGAGTGACACACTCTGTTGACACTGAACACCCAGAATGTGTGGCATTTACATTTCATGGGTTTGCAGAAGTGGAAATGTGTAAAGAATAAAGGTTTATTTCAAGTTCAAATGCCACTGCAGCACACACATGAACGATTTTTGTGTGTCTGCATTCCCACACAGGGCTTTAAAATGTGAACCCTAATATGAGACTTTCTGTTTGGCGTCGCGCTGGTGTCATTTGCTGCTTTGTTTCATTTCCTCTTCTATTTTCAGGAAGAGCCTGTTCTGTAAAATAAAGCGCCAACAATCAAATAACCACCGGCTGCTCACAGAAAGACACCAGTTAATAATAATGATGATGTATTCCTCTCTGTTCTGCTTTAAAGAGGGTGTCGAATAGGCGCGTGATTTACAGGCTTGCATCTGGAGTTTTTAGTTCAGATGTCATCAGTTTCAGCTGCTGCTGTGATAACGCCGAAGGACGCCAATTACTGAGGGACAGCAACCGTGTGCCAAATTGCATGGCGCTCCAGCCAGTTGATGCAGGACACGTTCACTCTGGATCAAAAATCAACCTGCTGGTGGAAATGAAGCTGGGGGATCAGCATGGTGGAGAAATGCATCAACTGTGAACTTTAGAGCAGTTTTAGTTTTTGCCAATCCATCCAGTAGTACAACCACCTACTGACACACAAATTCAGTGCTGGGTTTATTCATGAGCAGCTACTTTACAACAAGATCAATTTCAAGGATGAATATTAAATCCTCCAAGTGTCCAATCAAGCACTTTAATTACACACTGCACTACCTAAACTTAACCTTTGGCGACATGCTTTGCAAATGTCAGCCCTTCTTCCTGCACTGGCATAAAACCACTACAGAATCCACTAGGAGCGCATTACATGCACTATGCAGAGATTTGGCTGTAAAGGAGCTGGGGGAAGATGCCATGAGGACATCTGGTCTGGAGAATGGATGGATGAATACGTGAATGAGGGTGAAGATGGACAGCTGGATGGATAATAGCCTTTCTATATGAATCTATTCCCACCACAGACTGTGGAGAAATGCATAGAGAGCATCTGGGAAATTCGAGACTTGGATTTGGATTCACCATTTATCAACATTACCGAAGCCACGAAACCAAAAAAATGCCAAATGGGAACACTGGCACAGTCAAATATGTCTGCAAAGAGTCTTTTTTTCTTTCTAGAAATTGATGGAAAGCTCAGGATTGTATTTGAGACACTTATTGCGGTTAAAAAGACAAATAACTTGCAGTGCTTCACTTGGGCTTTGTGCAATTTGTCACTGTGATTTTGCATTTAGCAATCTATACAGCATGCACATATGCGGAAAATTACATGTTTTCCCCCTACGCTTTCCTCCCTCTCAGTAAAATTAAAAACCAAACAAAACAGAACGTTTTATTTAGAAAAGAAAAGGTTTTTATGTTTCCTTTACAGAAATAAAGTCCAGCTTTATTTGATGCAGAAAGGACACATGTTGATGCTTAAAAATTCACCACAATCCACGGAGGAAATTCATTTTCTGACACTAAAAAAATTCTAATTGGAAACCGCCAGGCTGCACACTTAATATGTCCTCTTTCCCACCAGTGTGCGAGTGAAACCTGTGCCCATGCATATGCATATTCTTCTAATGATCGTTGGCTTTCTGTGAAACACACTGTATTCCCCATGCAATGAAATGTGTTATTTAAATAAAGATTTGCTTTACTGCTTGAGCTGTTAATGATCTCGCCTGGCTGTACATATAATAAGTAAAATTATGCCAAAATGCCAGAGCACACGAGCGACAACCTTCAACTTTTTCAGTTCAAGCCCATATCTAAATGTTGCCAAAGCAGCCTTGGCATATTTCCATACAATAAGGGCAAAAATGGCATTTAGAGCTTTAACACTAAACCCACTATTTTATTGTCTCTCTGCACTTGACGCTTCAACACTGAAGAGATTTTGGAGATTTAAAAAAGCAATAAAAACTGTCTGCGTAGGTCACAGACTGAATTAAACCCTATTTTCTTCCAGTGTTAATCCTATGGAAGCACTGATTGCCCGCCCTGCTCATAAATTAATTTTTACATATTGTTATTGGTACAATGTGTAGGATTTAAAAAGCTTGTTATAAAAAAAAATGCTTATCAGTCAAAATGAGAAGAACAATGTAAATATGACTCTGATGCCAAATGTCAGAACCAGCTGTATAAATGATTTTTCAATTATTAAGCAATCTAACTGGGAGTGCTTCTCTTTGGTAATCTTTGCTTTTGAGCACCAGAAAGTCGATGCATAAAATGCAATTTCCAC